ACAACACCACTCCTTAATGATTATGGTAATAATTAACTTTATCTGTTAATCTGACCACAATCAGATAAATGACAATCTGTTATATTTTAGCGTCCTGTTTCACTGATTTATGTCCATGATTTATTCTAACCATCTTATAGTGCATACATTTATTCACCTTACTCTTCTCTCTTGCACTACATGTTTCAGCACAAAAGTGCCATCTTCAGGTGCTTTTCGATGTACGTCAAACTACTTCATTGCATGCCCTGTTGTCTTTATACTAAAATATATTGTAATGTGTTTGCAATCCAGAAGAGTCACTTCTATGGAAACACTAGAATAGACCATTGCATAGGAAACAACAATCGCTCTATTGTAGTTCTAACATCAAATCTCCACGGTTACGATGAATACGCGAAGCGTTCCCACAGAGACAACGCAATAACAATGAGTCATTGCGTAGGAATCGCGGAACCAACAAAGCAACGTTTCCACTGTTATAACAGAGGATTCATTTGCATAGCAGCGGCCGAGGGGATAAATAGCCCAGCTTCGGCGAGAAGCAGTCAGTCTTTATCCAGCCATCTAAGAAGTGAGTCTTGCAACATCCGCCGCACAAGACAGTTGAAGTGTTACAGCGAATAGTAATTGTGCTCGTGGTTGTAGAAGGAAAGTGTCCAATAAAGGTTCTACGGAATTTGATACCAGCGTAAATTTATTTGTAGCGTGACACACAAAGCATGCCACACTGGTGTCAGAAGTGGGATTGGACTTACACACGTGGTCAACGAGATTCAAACTCAAGACACGCTACATTGGTGTCAGAATATATTCATATATATTATATACATACAATACATATATATATACAATATATACAATATATTCATCATATATATTGATAAATTTTAAATATTAAAAATATTAAAACAGAACTAAAAAGCATGGAAGAAACCCAAACAACAACAAACAAGCATAACAACACAAATTATACACGCGTAAAAAATTGTACGAACACTCACTTCACACAAGACGAAATTCAGCTCTTAAGCAAAGGGCTAAAATACAATCTACACTATAAAAACAAAAAAAGCATTGAAACACTAGCTCTCGAAGCAGAAACAGCAATAACAAAACTAGATATAACTAGGAACACAACTACTACAGAGACATGTAGTTGTGAAGCAAATCAAAGAAATTAGCAAAAACAAAGATATCCATAATAGCTATAAAAGTAAGAGAGAATGGAAATTAGCTACGAATATAAAAAGAAAAATGCTAGATAACAAATTAATAGCAACAAAAGCAGACAAAGGAAAAACATTAGTAATAATAACAGAAGAAGAGTATCAACAAAAAATAATGAAATTTATACATGAAAATAATTTTACATTGATCAACAAAGACCCAACACAACAATACCAAAATAATATTAAACAAACAATAAAACTATGCACAAACACAATACAAAAAGAACAAAAATGGAAATACACAAACATGAACCCCGTGGCCCCAAATTTACACGCGACAATAAAACTACACAAAAACAACACACCTATTAGACCCATAATCAATTGGAGAAATGCCCCAGCATACCAAATAGCAATACTGTTATCCAAAACACTACAAGAATACTTACAATTGCCAAACACATATAATATACATAACTCCATACAATTAATGAATGACGTAAACACCATTATAATAAATGAAAACATAAGATTATGTTCATTTGATATAGAGAACATGTATACAAACATACCTAAGAAAGATATAATGAACATAACTAAAAACACTCTACAACACAATCATAATACAGACATAAATACACAAAGAGAAATTATGTGCATATTGAATACTATACTAGACCAAAATTATTTTCAGTACGAACAAAAATATTACAAACAAACAGATGGTTTAGCTATGGGAGCTCCAACATCTGCAATATTAGCAGAAATATACATCCAGAACATGGAGCACACACAAATATACAACATATTAAAAAATCAGAAAATAATTGGATATTTCAGATATGTTGACGACATACTAATA